TTTTTGTAAATTGTTTTTTAATTTTAAGAGTGTATGTCTATTTGAATATTTTTTGGCACACAATTTCATCATATTTTAAGCTTTTAAATAACATAAATGTCCGCTCCCTAATTTATTATTAGTTATAGTTTATAAGTAAATTTTACTTTTTTAGCAGAATTATGTCAAATCTAAAACAGTACAAATACACAATATCCTCAAACAACGGGATTTTATCATCGGAACAAAGGAATTTTTTTGAAGATAATGGATATATTGTCATCAGATGCTTGATAGATGAAACGCTATTGGATCAATTCAAGTAATTAAGAATTACTGTACCTACATAAATTATTTAAAATGACAATACATACAACGATATGATCAGAAATCAACTCATATTTTTACATTAAATATCCTATAAAACAATAAGATATAAGACCATTTTGTACATAATATTCGATAGAGATTGAAATAGCACTAGTAATAAACTTCAATAAGACATTATTAAATATTTTAATAATTTATTTTCACTGTYCTTATTTAGAAAGCGATTCATCGATATATGTGAAAATAAGGTAAATCGAGGAGGAATAACCGTGATGAAAGATATATCATTGGTTAAAAGAAATCAAGAAGAAATTCCTAATGAGCGCATCGTTAATAAAATTCAAGACATAGTATGGGATGATGTATTCGAACAGTACTTTCTACATCCAGAAGTAATTATTTTTAGTGTAATAAAAATGATAGGCGCAACTACACCTAAATCTTTTGGAGGTGCTTAGACGCTTTGTAAGTTGTTTTTGTACCTACTTGTAAAAATTGAATAAKTACTTACGCCACTATAGTAACTTATATACAGCGAACTATTTTTATGAATATAAAAAGTATTGAACATTTGGAACGACAATTAGGTACCTATTTAATTTGTCTACGGTATTTTGTAATTAAAAAATCGTTTAACAATATACCTAATGAGATGACTTATTTGAAATTGTTTTTTCGATTATTATTATTTGTATTTATTATTGTTGTCAATTCGTGGTCGATATAATAACGTAGGTAGGTACAGACAAAATAATATGATATATAAGAAGTACATCATATACCTATCATATTTCTCTATAATTTATAGGTATTATASGTCTATATGACTGTATTTCATTTCAACTTATACGAATGTGTGTCAGCTTATTTAAGGGAAACTCTAACTACCGAACGAAAATAATTTGGAACGCTTGTTTCTTTGAAAAATCAATAATATTATGTATTTACTATTTTTTTATTGTTATCGAATTTTTAACTGTATTTTTTAATATTATTATTATTATTCGATGACACCGTACACGAAATTTTATTAATAGTTCGGCTGCATCATGTTCAATCGTTCAATGGCACTGTCATAGTGTCATCGGTAAACTTTTWGTGGGTACTCCGTACTCGGGGTCAAAATGGGTTAAATAATAATACGTGTTTGCGCTGGAAGGACATTGGAAAAAATTTAATATCGTGTTATTATATATAGTCGCACTATAATTTTACCTACGGCCTATAAAAACGGACACGTAATGATTTTATTCGCGGCCGGTCGACCCCTATCGGCTATCACTATGATAATAACTATTACCTATTGTGTGTTTAATCACTTTAATATGATATTATTWTTTTTTTTTTTATTGATCAAAGTACATCGACAACTAGGCCATTAGTAAAAGAATTTTTTTTTGTAACATTTTTAGTATTTTAASTATAAATTTTCTACATTAAATTAAATTGTACAATTCTKTTTTTTTTTAAGAATAAAATTAAGTTTTTTACATYCCTTGAGTTTGGTCCAAGTGCTTGACAGATTTGTTCGGATATGTGAAATTGATTTCGATACTGGTTGTATTTTTGACATTCAGTGATGATGGGGTTGACGATTAAAAGTACGCTATATGATATTATTATTGCCATCAAAATAGGTATAATGCAAATATTAAATAATGATAATAGTGATCGAATGCACTACTATCAACCAAACGGTATTATTTGTAAACTCCATATTTAATTGTTAAACACGTAGGTATAAACTGCTGTATAAACGAATTATTCAGAGTAAATTCGATCGTCGTACAGAAAWAATTTCGTTTAAAAATTAACATGTTTTGTCACAATATTGATAATATATTTTGTGCGAAAGTGTTCTTATTGTATAGAAAATAAAATTACAAAATATCTTAATTAATTTTTGTAAAGTATATTGTTTGAATGAGCCCCAAAAATTATTAACAAATAATATAATATTATATAATTACCTTGAAAGCTTATTTACAATTAAAATGCACAGTAATAGAACAAAATGTGCATAAAATGTTTTACACCAATAAAGAATAATATTCTTGAGTGGGTTTTATAGTAGGTATTGACTATTTTACGACCGAAATCGGGTGTTATCATCGATGCGCACGTATACGGTAAATTACATTGTACCTTGTACCTATTCTAAAAATACCTTAAAATTTAATAACTATCATGAATATTGTTTTTTAATACAATATTTAGATTAAACATAATATCTTAAAATGTATCTTAAAATTCAAATAAATACTTCATATACATGGATACACAATGCAAAATTAAGTTTATTATTATTTTTTTTTGAATGTTTAGTAAACAATATTATAGCCGGGTACCGGGTTATTATCATAACTTATTTTTATTATTATTATTATTCATAGAAGATTTATYAAATGGATAGGTACTTAAAAGTAATCCATCAGGATGGATGTAATTAAAATTAAAATTAGTAGAACATTTAAAAATTATAATATCTCTGTATAAAATACACTTAAGCTAGCTTAAAATCTAAGTTATTATCAGAAAATAATCTTTTCGATACAATCATCATAAATTGAGTTTCTAAAAGTTTATAATTTATTCTTCAAAGTATATTTTTCAATCGTAATAATATAAAACTAAAACTAATCCCTTATACTTAAATATCATAATTTCTCAAAATTAAAATGTATTGAAGCATTATACTTGATAAATTAGTTAGTTGCATTCAAATGTTTTATTTCCAAATAAAAATAAATTTGTCTTCTTTTATAATTGAACAAATATTTCTTTGAAAATTATTTATAACTTGCATAGATTATGTTAAATGATTTCAAAGTAACTTTTAATAATCATTTGATAAAAAGTAAAAATCAAGTTTCTAACTATGCCAATTACTGGTATTTCAACTTCATAATTGCCCACATTCCACAAAWATTGCTTATGTTTAACTTTCAAAACAATAAATATTTAAAACATCGAGTATCGTAATAACAAATCATCTACTTTTAACCCACTTCGTACATATAATCCATTCATTGAAAACTTATAGCAATTCTAATTTTGAGTCAGGATTTACAACGCTACAAAGTTTGGAAAACATAAACCATCAAAAAATTATGAATAGATTCACATCATATAAATAAATAAAAAATTAACCATCAAATAACTTGAGATGTGGGTAAATCAATTCTCTTTAAAATGTTCGACACATTATATTTTATTTTACACTTACTTGAAAACTTTTGATACTCAAGACAAACGATGTTTCGTTACATCTGATGTTTCAAAAAATAAATAAATCATTTACTAATTACTTTTTTATAGTTACTCGATCATGTACAATGTTTCACGGGAAACAATATAATGGCAATGCATTCAATGTTAATAAACAAACCTCCAGATACAGGCTCGATGACTTCAAGACATCCAATGCATCAGGTAAATAATACTGTATTTGGGGGTGGAGTGGCCGAGCGGACTAAGGCGTCGGTTGCGACGCACGCAGTCGCCGGTTCGAATCTCGGTCACGGGCGGCATCGCTTTTTGGGCATTTCGCGATGTCTGGAGAGAGAGGCCGCCGGCCCCCAACCGGGCATGACAGAAACCCACGGGTGCCCATTCAAAATTCTGCCAAAAAAAACCCACGAGTTAAAACCATACAGTACCTTCCCCTA